AGTCAGAGCCAAGTTTAGTGAATAAGATGTATGATCAAACTAGGTGGCACTCTTTGGGTTCAAAAATGATCCATGATTATGAAGCAATGAGACGGATTTCCTTGTATGTTTTGTAATCTGACTCCAAAGGAAACTTCAGATGAGTAGCAAGGAATCTGAGCAGTGAGTAGGTACACACATACTCCTCTTTCTCCCAAGTGGCTTCTTTGAGGGATAACACTCACTTGGATGTGTAAGCTCAGATACAAGGTTTGCTTTGTGCCATCACAACTCATAAACAGAAGGCTCCTTGGGATATGAGACCCACTGTGGGCCTGTCACTAAATTCGAGAGGTGCCACGGCATGCAAGAATGAACACAGGCTTCAGGAGGAGACCGGCTGACTCATGTTAGAATCCTGACCTGGCCCCTTGTCGCCTGTGTGACTTCAGGGAAGTCACAAACTCACTGAGACTCTGCGAAACAAGGTGATCATCTAACATGCAGGGCTGTTGCAAAGATCTGAGATAATGCTGAAAGCACTGCCACTGTGCCCAACCCGTGCTAGGTGCCCCAGAAGTCAAACCCATATAGTAACAACTTCAATAGAATCAAGAGGTTTTTCTTACTCTAGGTGACTTAAGATGACAGAACAACAGATAAACAGACATTCAGGTGGTGGGTGAGTAGTTCCTGAACAGTACCAACATACACTCACTACCGCTAGACCCGGAGCGGCTTTAAACAAAAAGCCCAGTAATACGTAAATGATATCTGCAGTGATCACTCACACCACGGGTACTATTTTTTTTTTTTAAAGATTTTATTTATTTATTTGTCAGAGAGAGAGAGGGAGAGAGAGCAAGCACAGGCAGACAGAATGGCAGGCAGAGGCAGAGGGAGAAGCAGGCTCCCTGACAAGCAAGGAGCCCGATGTGGGACTCGATCCCAGGACGCTGGGATCATGACCTGAGCCGAAGGCAGCTGCTTAACCAACTGAGCCACCCAGGCGTCCCCCACGGGTACTATTTTTAAATCATATGACACGTGCCACCTGCAGCACCGCCACCACACTGACCTTTGACCGCTGTCTGAGCACACTGGGCTCTCTCATGAACCCCGAGCCTCTCCATCCTCTGCCCCTCCTAACTCCCCTTTCCTGCCCTCTCGTCTGAGAAACCCTACAGTTATATTCTTCAAGACTGAGCTGTGGAAGCTTCCCTGACTGCTGACACAATTGGTGGCTCTGCCCCCTTGTGCTCCCACAGCATTTAGTTCCCTTCTCTGGCATGTCTCTTCCTGTGTTGAATTTTAATTTCTCTTCCCATTTCTGCTTCTCTTGCCAGGCTTGAGCATGGAGAGGAATTATATCTCTCTTATTTTTGTACTGAGAGCACCTAGCACATCTCTTGGCACACAGTAGGAACTCAGGAAATGCTGGATGAATGAATGCTTTAAATATAAATATTTTACAAATGACTGGTGAAGGCCAGGTAGCCATCCTTTGTTAACAATTACCAGAAATCACATCCATTTTTCCTAAAATCCAAGAAGAGACAAGATAACTTATGTAGAATGGTTTTAGAAGTTGCAGCACATGGAACTTTCTAAACGCTACTGACCTCCTTAGTACTCCATGCTCACATGACCGAACACCCAGAGCAGCATCCCTCAGCTTCGTCCCAGCCCAGCACACCTGTGGGATGTACCTCACTGTCAGGGCTCACTGCAGATGATCAAATGATCAGGGCCTAGCAGAGTTCTCACAGCTTCCAGCACTGCCTGGCTCCCAGGCCTGAAGGCCATCTCCAAGCCAGCAACAGGAGCAAGTTAGCAGAAAATTCCAAGGCTCCACGCTGTGACCAGGGTGCTGGCTTAATGTCATCTCCTCCCAGATCCCCACCTCCTACCTCAGAATCAGTCTGCCAGTTCTGTATACTGCTGAGAGTTGCCTACTCAATGAATAAGACTCCCTTGAGGAAGCCTCAGGCATTCAGAAAAGGACTTGGTGGGTCTAGTGTGCCTACTGCAGCGAGTCTTAACCTGTGCCGCTAAAAAGTTCACGATCAACCAGTTCTGTGCCAGATGGAAATAGGCGGAGGGTCAGCTGGCAGCCCTGTGCATCTGAGTGCTGCCACTTGTAAATCATTCTGTTATTGCAGTTTTCTAAACCTTTGGCAATACAGCAGTGGGCTCAGACTCACCAAGATCAAAAGGTTAGAAAGGAGAGCTGGAGCTATGGCCCATGCCTTGGGACTCACAAAACCATGATAGTGGCTATTTTTGTGACACACGTACTCCACAAATTAAAGCAGCCACATTCTGCCTTAGTGTCATGGTCTTTCCTGTCTCTCTAATGGAATGGCTGTATTCAGAAGGAGAGAAGATGAGAAGAAAGAGGACCAGGCCACAGACCATCAGGAATGCAGTGACTGGAAGAAGCCATTTTAGATTTCTCCTATAGGCTCCGGAGAGTCATTCATTCATTCATCCATCCATTCATTCCACAAATATTTAATGAGTCAGGTACCATTGCAGGTGCACAAGATACATAATGGGCAGAATCATGGCTCTGGTCCCACGGAACTTATAGTTTAGTAGGGGAGACAGGCATTAATCAAATAAACACACAAATATAAGGGTACAAATAAGTGCTATGATGGAAGAATTCAGCATGCTACAGAGATTGTATAAACAGGTATCAGTGGGCTCAGGCAAGTCAGAAAGGCTCCTCTCAGCAAGCAACAAGTGAGCTGAGATCTCAAGGATAAATAAGAGTTAATTAACTAGGTCAGGAGGAGAGGAGAGGGAAACATTCCTGGCAATGAGAACAGCATGTGCCAAGGTCCTGGGGTAGGAGAGAGATACTGAAGTGGTTCCAAATTAGAGGCAGGGAGAAAGGCAGCAACACCAAGGCTAGATGCCCTGGCACAAGGTATCTTCCCGTCTACACCCTCTGGTTTGCACTCTAGCTATCTAGAAGGCCCTCCTCAGCATGGAACAAGACTAAAGAATAACATCAAAAACTAGGTGTACCCACGAGACATGACACATCGTTAGCTAAAAAGTCAGACTTGCCAATATTACCTGACCACTGTCTTAGCAGTTACCACTGTGAGGCAACACGGCTCACTTCTACTGAAGCAACACTGTATCAGGACATTGGTGCCCTACAAAAGGTCTTTAGAGATGCATTTCAATTCCAGTAGAATTAAAGTGTTGACAAATATATTGATAATTACTATAAATCTGTTTAGATACCTAATATTTCATTGTAGTTTACATACACCAAATTTTAGGGGGTGGGGGAGAAGCCACAGGAAAAGAAAATGGTTAAGGATGTTATCTGTGCAGCACTACTGTGCTTGGCAACTGTTAGCCAGTTCGAACACTTGAGACAGTTCTTGGGTTCTGAATTATCTGTCACCTTGCAAAACTGTCCTGGAACCATCTATTTGCAAAGCACTATGCAATCAATCATGAATTTGGCTTCCCATCCTGCTGAGATTATACTCATTCTACAGATAAAACACATAAGCAAGTGGCCCAAGGACACAAAACAATTCAGATTTTACTTTTCTTCTTACCACCCTCACCAAACAATGTAGACACACAAGGCCCTTCCAACTCCAGCACCAATCCTGCTACCCTGTAGATCACTCCTCACCCCCTAGGAGTAGCAAAGGAAGGTGCTGCAGTCCCTCCTCCCTTACCTCCTCTCAACACGCTCCTGGATGCAGAACAGCTTCAAGGCCAACAGTGATAACGACTGCACCATGATTGGGACATTGGCACTCCAGACCAGAAAAGGAACTCAGTAGTGCTAGAAGAGGAACAGAGCACCTAGGAAGCCTCAATGGCTTGTAACTTAAAATGTCACTGTCCTCAGGGAGACTGCACTCCCAATACTCTCTCTCCATCTCTCCCAAGACTTCCCTTCATCACCCACAAGCAGTTCAGGCAGTGGTCTCCACTGGGTTCCCCCAGTACAACACTGCACAGTGCTACCAACCATCTATTTACAGGTCTTTCTCCACCCACAAGCTGGGACCTCCCAGCATCTGAAGCACCTCACATAGGACCTAGCATACAAAAGGCTGATTGAGGGCACAGATTCCCACCAGCAACTAAGGGAGACAGGTAGGTACTCCCTTCACAGACTAGTGGACTCAGAAGATCAATTAGGCCAACTCCTTATTTTTCGGATGAACAGAGAATATGTAACTCAGTCACATGGGGCCTGGTCCCTAATCCAGATCTTTGGGCTCAGTTTAGTCCCACAAACATTTTATAAGGGCCTGCTCTGTTTCAAACGCTGTGGGAGATGCTGGGGATAGTGAGGTGTGCAGGGGATGGTCTCTGCTTCAGGGCGCACACAGCATGGGGGAGGGAACAGAGTTACAGAATACTTGGGCAAGTGCAAGGACAGGCACTCGATTCCTTAATCAGTGTTCTCTCCACACTGTCCACTGGATGGATACTCCCCAGCTGGAAAACAGGACAACAGTGTCTACTTCCTGCAAATAAACTTACAGTGAAGACTGAGGAGACACCGTGTATGGGAAATCGTCAGGTTCACCCCCCAGAGGCATTATGTAAGGGACTGCCATACCCTGACACCGACTCCGAGGATTCAGCGTCGTTTCAGATATCACTCGACAAAGCAGCAAACAAGCTAGAGGTGGGCATACATCCAAGGAAAACCTCAAGGGCTCAGAGGAACCGGAGGAAACAGCTGGGGAGTGTGTGTGGCGGGGGGTAGGGGTGTTGGGTCAAGCGAAACGGCCCCAACGCGGGGAACAGAGGACAGGCGGCGGGGGGCGGGAGGGGGCGCTGGGCCAGCAGCCAGGGTGGGCTGGCCCAAAAGCAAAGGGGTTCCCGCGGGGCCGAGGGCGGAGGTGGGGGTGCTGAAGGCACCGGGAGCGGGAAGCACGGCCCAGAGAGCCGCTCGCACCGCGGGGAGCTGCCCCGCCGCCCGCCGTAGCCTCACTCCCGCCGCGCCTCCCCCGGCGGTGCCTCACCTCGGGTTGAAGTCCTGGAAGAGGCCCCTCAGGTTCATGGCGGAGAACTTCGCCGCGGCGGCCTCCTCCTCCCTCCCCCCGCGCCGCGCAGCCTGCGCGTTACAGCGGGTTCATGGTGCCGGCGCGAGCCGCGTCCCCCCCGCCGCCGCCGCCGCCGCCGCCGCCGCCACCACCGCCGCCGCCGCCGCCGCCCGGAGAAACCTGAGCCACCGCCTCCCGCCCCTCCTTCCAGGCTTCCGTACGGCGGCGGCGCATGCGCCCGAGCCCCGCCCCGCCGGCCGGGGAAGCGCTGCGAGCCGCGTGCGACGCCGCCCTCTTAGCTGGTGGCGACCGGAGGAGGCCGTGGCCCTGGTTTTCCCTGGGGCCCGCGGGGGGCGTGGAGGCTGGGAGAGATGGGGAGCCTGGGGGAGGCGGCGGAGAGCCGAGCGGGGAAGCCCCCTCGGCGCAGGCCTGCGGGAAGGAAACGCGCCACCCGGGAATCTCGCGGGGAGGTCTTCGCGGACACCTGTCACCTCGCCCTGCGGTGCCTTCGGGAAATTTCCCCTGAGCCTGGGCGGGAAGGGGGATAGTGGCCACGGTGACTCGTTGCATTTTGGCGTTCTCATCCCAGGCTTCACCTGTTAGATCTGTCGGTGACTCCCAAGTCTGCGTCTCCATTTCTCTCCCAAGGCCCAGGCCAGCATATGGATACGTGCTGGTGGTCCCACACTCAGGTAACCTAGTGCCACAGTCATCTTTCCTCCCAACCGCCTTCCCCTCCTGGGTTGCCCTCTCCGTTGGCAGCACAACTATTCATGGGGGCATCCAAACTGGAAATCTGGTAGTCATCTTCCTGTTTGCTGAGTTCAGAGACTTCTTGGCCCCTGCCTAGACTTTGTGGTCACTTCCCACCTGGCCTCCTCCTCCACTCCAGGCCATCTTACTTATAACTGCCAGGTTCATCTCCCTTGCACAGGTCAACATCTTTGGCCTCAATTTTTCTCCTCTGCAAAATGGAGATGATAAAACCGACTTCCTAAACTTGGGTAAGAGAGCGTACTTAACACTACTTGGTTCACACTAAGTGCTCAGAGAATGTAGTTGCTCTCTCGTGCTCTTTCCAGTTCCTACCTCCTCAAAAGTCTGTTTACTTTTGGAATTAGCTGGGCAAGTTCACAGCAGGTGACCTAGTCTACCTTCCTCACTTCCGGCTTATTTAAGACTTTTCCATGAGCACAGCAATACCTTAGACATTAGTCTAGTATCATTATGGGTAATAGTTGCACTTTGTTACAATAACAGAGTTTCATGAATGGCAGTTTTCATATGGGTTAGCCCTGGGGGTAGCTTGAGAAGATCACAATTATAATAGTCATACCTTGCCGTGATGTATCACCTTTCTTCCAAGAGACTGAAAACATTTCACAAGTGGTAATTAGGCTTCCCAAACCCACTGGCGAATGGATATCATTGTAGGAGCTGCCTTTCAATATGAGTAACCTGAATCAGGTTTGTCAGCTGCTGAAACACCAGAACCCAGTCCCAGAGTCTTTGGTCAGTTCCCTTGCCCATCCTCCAGGTAGAGTCCAGTGTCTACCCCTGAGGAGTTTCCCAGTGAACATTTAAATACACAAGAGAAAGCTGAGGCACAGAGAAGCTTGTCTGATGTGCCTTGAGCTACCCAGCTGGTAGAGGTACAGGAGCAAAGAGGCAGCAGGGGTTCCTGCCGACATTGCAGCCCGCACTCTGCAAAGAAGAGGTAGTTACCAGTGGCCAGACTGACCAGCACCATCTTCATTATTGATGACCTCCTCATAAAAAGGCATTAAGACTGAGATTGTTTGTCAGTTAAGATACTTGAACAGGAGATACTGTTGCCTTTTCAGAAACTTCACCAGCAGAGACCAGGCAGGCTGCTCAGAGTCCAGAGTCTTGAGGGCAGGTGCTACTTTGATGAGGCCCCAGGGAGTCCCAGAGCTGACCCACTGCTCTGCAGCTCACAGTCCCCCAGACATGACCAGGTTGTGAGGGATGCCCAGCCCAGGGAACAGAAAACCAATACACAAACCAGTTGTCAATGTATTCTTTTGTTCCAACAAGCCAGATTGCTGAGGGGAGCTTATAAACCTGTCCATGGGAGTAGAAGAGAAGGCCTCGTATCACTAATCTTCATGAAGTGGATGTACCTGGTCTGCCTCAGCCTCACTGGAGGTCCAGCCCTGTACTCTACCAGTGCTCTCATGGAAATAAAAATCAGAATATCCATGGGCACTTGGATGGCTCAGTCAGTTGATTGACTGCCTTCGGCTCAGGTCATGATCCTGGGATCCTGGGATTGAGCCCGCCTCAGGCTCCCTGCTCACAGGAGAGCCTGCTTCTCCCTCTCCCTCTGCCCCTCCGCCCTGCTTGTGTTCACTCTCTCTCTCTCTGTCGAATAAATAAATAAGTTCTGTAAAAAACATCAGAATATCTGGGTGTCCCTCTTGTCCTCTCTCCAGCAAGTGCAAAAGACACTGCTGCCAATCTCCTGCCAATCTCAGACCCCTCACTCAGTGGCCCGCCCTGAGCAAGGGCCCAAAACGTCACTGGCCTGCGTGTACAGACGTGTGAGTGACCCAGATATTGAGGAAAGACTCTGGGCCATACACAGGTTGATGCCCTCATCATCTCCCCTAGCCAACTTTGACTTGCCACCAAATTTCAGGGCCCACTTACTACAGACTATCAACATTCCTTATATAAAGGCATGAAATGGCTCAGGATTGAAAAAGCATGACCCCAAATAAGCCAGAAAGCACACTCATGTGGCTTTGGAGTGGGTACATGTTACAATGTCCCAAAAGCATCATTGTATATCTGGACCATGGTTTTGAAGACTACCTTGGATTTGTAACACCCTTCTGTTAAGTTGGTGGCTTGTCCAATTAAAAATTCACATTGTCTCCAAAATGATGGGGTGGAGGTCAGACTTCTCAGGAACAGGGCTGTGAAGGAGAAAATCCTGGTACCTACAGACACTTTGGTCATGGAGGGCCTGAATTAGGGGATAGAAGTGGCTGTGGCCCAACTCTCACACCACTGGGGCTCCTCCCCTGGGCTGCAGCAGGGTGGGGAGAGCATGGAATTAGAAGACTCAGACCAGCTTCATCACTGCTCTCGTGGAAGGAGGGACAGCTGGGATCCAATCCTGGGGAAGGCTGGCAGGTCTACTAAACTTCCTGAGGGACCAGCTTGGCAACATATTCAGCCGGGAGATGCAAGGTGCTGGCTGAAGGCTAACCCTCTCTCAACCTGAAATTCTCCACTCTAAGTTCCCCAAAGTCCACACCCCGAATTCCACCAATAAGAAATCACTGGGGACTACACTTGCGAAATGGACCCCTTGCTTCCTGAGAGGGCCCTTTGTTTCTAGCTACTTAAAGTTGACCTGAGTAAGTGTGTAGTCTTTCTGTTCCTGAGATCTCCCTGGGAGGTGGTTGGAGTCTGGATGAGGGTACAGTAGAACACATAGCTGGATTTGGGGGCTCAAGGAGCTTGGGGTGGAGGCTGGGAGCAATGGAAGAGACCAAGAAGGTAATATGTATGGTTCTGCTTGGATTTATAGCTGCCTCTGGTCTTCTTCAAGAGCCCAGAAGGAGTCTCTCTTCACCATAGATGTTTCCCTGAGGACAAGTGGGTCAGCATCCTTTCTGGAGCAAGCTTCCCAGTGAAGGAAGCAGGGACTATTTCCTTTTGGAAGGTGGAGTGGGCAGACTGTGTCTGGGCCCACAGAGCCATCGTGGTGTCCCTGTGCTATCCCCCCTGGACCTATCCGGTCACCAGGGGCTCCAGGAAGGCTTCCCATGTGGGGGAAGGAGACTCCTGGGATCCTGTCCTCCAATGAGATGTGCCTGGAAAGCCCAGGTCAGGTACAAGGGCCAGGCCTTTTGGGAAGGCAGGAAGAAACGTAGAGGTCACCAACTACTTGCCCACACACGTCCCTTCTCTCCTCCCCACTGTCCTGTTCTCATTCCTGTGTCTCACTCCCTGCTTGCCTTTTTCCCTTTGTGCTTGCACATTGGCTTTCTGTCACCTTTCTCTGGGACCCTCTGCCTTTACTAGTAAGATGTCCCCTTCTTCCCCATGTCTTCTCCTGATGTACCCTTCTGGCCAGGGCAGTCTGCAAACTTCACTCCTCTGTCAGCCTCAGCTAATGTCGGGCACTGTGGAAAGCACTGCTAACACTTAGTGTTGTATGCGATAAGCTTCCAGAGCAGGAGAACTGCTGAGCTGAATCTGAAAGGCCACGGAAGATTTCCAGTCTGGAGGAAAAGAAAGGGGATTGTAGGCAAAGGGAACAACCCTTTCAAAGGTGCAGAAGTCAGCAAGTGGAGGCAGTTGGACTTTTCGGGGAAAAATGTCCTCTATGTTCATTCTCTGTGGAGTTTCTGGAACACCCTTCCCTCAGGTAGGCCCTCTAGTTTGGGGTCTGAGTGCTCATCGCAAAAATGTTTTACCCAGAATGACCCCCGGACCAGAACAGGACTCAGTCAAGGCTGTACTAGAGTCTGTGTGTAAACGCAGCATACAGAGCCAGGCAACATGCAACATTTCAGTGAGGTTGTTCCACACATTTCGAATACAGGAAGATTGCTTTGTCTCAGTCTCCAGTCTATCCTGGGATCCTGTGGCCTCCTACGATGATTGTTTTCTCTGGCTTGATGTACAGCATGCTCCCCTGCCCTGCCTACTTGCAACCCTAGGCCAATGGGCAGTGAGGACTTAGCTGAGGAAGCCTGCTCAGGGAGAGCTCATGAAATGAATGCAGGAGTCAGACCATCCCAAGATCCCTTCTAACAAGTAGGCCTCCCTTCTCCATACCTCAAACTGGGCCCCCAACATCTGCCAGAACTATGATCTATTATTCCTCAGTTTGTAGTAGCAGCAGGCATGATCTGTGGACTCCCATTCTCCCTTTTTCCTACCACATTCTCCAGGTTATCGACATGCTGAGGGTTTTTTTGTTTTTGTTTTTGTTTTTAAGATTTATTTATTTATTTATTATTTATTTATTTATTTGACAGACAGAGATTACAAGTAGGCAGAGAG